CTTTCTTTCAGTTTGAAGCCATTCCCCCTTGTCCTGTCACTATAGTTCCTGATGAAGAGTGAAAATGGATTTCTGGGGGCAAAAAAGGAGAAAAAAAAATTGGTACTCAGATTTCTATGTCACTACTTCTTTGAATATGGGTAGAGCCCTTCCCAAATCTTCGTTCGCGAAGCCTAGCCATGATGATGATGACTTCTTTGAATAAATAATAAGGATTATCCTATCCCTGCAAAAGCACTGGAGGACAATGGTGGTCAATAGTAGAACATCAGAATTTAAGCCAGTTTTGTTTCAAATACAGATCACTTGAAAAGTTTTCTATAACTGCCCAAGGGTGGCCTGCTGCATTATTTCAATTTTTTTAATCACCTGTGCTATTTCTTTCAAAGGATACAGGAAAAGACTTCTAGGGTTTTTTTGTTATATGAGAATTCAAGCCCTGTAAGCACTTCTGGAAATTTCTCAAGTAAATTCTGTGCAAGTTTAGATGAGAATATCTCTTTCCTTCTCTTCTTCAGATTGGACTGCTGTTTCTTTTTAAATATCAACAAAATCATAAATCCTGCACACATCTTCATTATTTTGTGCCACTCACACATCTATAGTCATTACTACAGTATTTTGAATTTCATACATAGGGATATTTACCCTTTTTTACTTAAAAATAATTTTATGGCTTTACTTCACTTATTGGTTCATATACTTTAAATTTGACATTTTAATAGATGCACCACTTACAGATTAAAGAGCTATCATATATTGGGTTTGGTTTTCCCTTGGGAAATCATGAAAAGTGAATTTTTTACATAACTTTTTTTCCAGAATCATGGAAGATACATTTCCTTTAGATAACCTTCCGGCAGGTAATGGGGCAGGGGGATTTAATTACTATTTATATTACAGAAGTCCATAGATACACAGTCCTGGTTACAGGATCTCACTGTGGTAGCTGCTGTTGAAACCCAATTCTTTCTCCATTCTCAAGATAAGTACCTCCTGGGCCATGGCAGTGCAAAATACCCTATTCCTCTCCAGGTTGCCCTAGAAGGTTGTGCTATTGCTGATTGTCTGGGTAAGATAAGCTTACAATGTGTTTCTCTCGTCTACAGAAGGCTGACAAAAAAAATTTAAGCTGGGAATCAAGTAATAACTTTCGGTCACCATCACCATGGGCAAGATTTGAACTGGTGTCTGAGATTGAAACATGCTAAATTCCACCATCAGCCACAGTCCTTCGAGCTGTACAATGAAAAGAAAAAAAAAGAAAAAAAAAGCTATTTTCTGTTGTTTAGTCAGTGTGCTTTCAATGTGAAAGAGTCTGCCTAGCTGTGGCAGTGAGCAGCTTTGAGGTAATTGCTGTTTTGTGTTTCAGTTCAGAGGCAGACGTTAAAATGAATCATTGGCTTCTGTTTCTGTGTTCTGGGCTGGCCCCTTTGCATGTACAGTTTTATTGGGTTTAAAGGGACTGTGCACTGGCACAGCTGCTCCCAGTATAACAGGATACGCAGCATAGAGGAAAACATTCCCACATATAATCCTGGTAAAAGTTTGGTGATTTTATATACAATTTAAGCAGTTAAGTCCTATAATAGCTTTAACAGCAAAATATACAAAATAGGATAGTTCCTCCAGTGATTATACAAGATACTTGGTGTTTACATTTGTACATATTGGTGGGTTTGATTCAATGCATACTTTTTAAGGAGAAGCCTTGTTCTGAGGCTTCAGTTTTTTCTTCTTTTATGTCTCTTTTCCATTTACTTTTGAAATTTATGCGAGTCTTGAGCACTCTTTTAGTCTGCCATGCATGGGAGAGGTATTAGCCCAAGTTCTGCTGTGGGAACTCTCCATGCTTCAGCTGCCTTTAATAGGATCACACTTCTAAAAAATAAGTCATATACTCATATAAAAATTTAGATAGAAAACTAAATTACATCAGCAGTGAAAAATCATACGACTGAAACATCAATTCTAATTTAAAAGCATTTCTTGAGACAATGCAAAATGTAATTCTATTGCCGAAGTGAGGCAACGCTGTTCTGGGACAAAACTAATATAGAAGTCTGACAAATATTGTTAATAATCCACTGATATGTATAACTGATGAGAGCAGTGTTGACAGCACCATATTGCAAAGAAGAATCGTAGCCTGATGGGAACGTTACAACCCCCTGGTAGAAACAGGCCCGAGCCTCTAATGCTGTTAGGGTTGCCACCATTCTGAGGGGCCAGATTCTTGGGAGCTGACACCTTTATAAATCAGAAGCTCTCTGGTACCACTGCAGGTCCTTGGTTTGACTAATATATGATTACAGTTGAGGACTGCAGTACAGCAGAGACCATGCTCAGCATAACCCAACTCCGATGACACTTTGGAGGCCAGAGATAACAAAGGGAGCTCAGGATGTCTGTCTTCTTCTACAAAACAGTCACCATAAAAGAAAAAGCTAAACTCTAAACTAAATTCAAAAGCCATTTAAGATTGTAACACAATCCTGGATGTGTCTGTTAGAATTATCAAGTAAATTGACTTGTTAATGACATAATAAATCTTGTTTCCCGCATTATTAAATGAAACACTACCTGTTGTAAAGAATATTTGCCCACCTACAAATGGGTATCTAAATAAAGGACATTTACATAGGGATCAACTTCTATGAATTTTGGCCGTGTTAACATAGCATAACATATCATAAAATCACAGAATTTTTAAGGTTGGAAAAGACCTCTATGATATCAAGTCCAACCGTTAACTTATGCACATATATATAATCACATATTTCCATTTTAAAAGCTGTAATTAAAGTGTAAATATTGTTGACTAATGTAGTTGGCTGTCAATATGCACTTGTTATGGAAAGTGTGACATATGTCATTTAATAAGAGAGCATAACATATTATTTATAATATAATTATGTAGGAATTTGGAGCTCAGCTTAAGACTTTTTTCTGTATCGTTGTGTACAGTTATAAATGTGTTACTGTATAGCTTGATTTTCTGATCCTTGGAAGTCAGGGTGCCGTAGCTACACATAATTTCACATGAATTGATCTGATTCCACTATGATGAAATACATTTTTCTAATGAGAATTCCACTTTTGCATCTCTCATGTAGGCAGGGTAAGGTTTTATCATATTCTGGTTATTCATTTTAAATGCTGATTTTTTTGTTGAATGATACAATGACTACCTTAGGCCATCTGGAAACCTAAACTGTCTTTAGAAAATTAACTTTAGCTTGTCACTTAAGGAATGGTTTTATTTTCTGACTGCAAGTTAGGACAGGGTGTGTTTTTGTTTTTGTTCGTTTTTAAGTAAAATGAATGTCCAGATAGAGGACCACATTATCAAACCCATAAACTAAATTACTCTTGGAATCTTATTTTATTTGTATTTGATAGAATGTGTCTTTGATGTCCTTATTTGCATAGATTAGTACTTTATTCCATAATTGGTGCCTTCATCTTACTAAGTAATTGACTTTTCCTTCATTAGACAAAGAATTGCATAACTTACATGGAGTTCTGGATATAAGAGAGGGGAATAGAAGTTCCTGATGTAGCAGACAGGCACAATCACAACCCTTACAAATGGGAGAGGTTAAGACATATTACTGTGAAAATATTAGTGTATAAGAGGAAATTCCTGACGTGGACCAGGCTGGCTAGACACAGTCAGTGGAAGGACTGCAAGGGATGCAGTGTGTCCTGCTGCAAATATGAACTCATGCTGCAGTCTCCAGTGTGGAGACAGCCATAACTTGATGTGCAGCGTACTGCAGTTGGTAGAAAGGCTCTGAATTTTAGATACTGCAGTTGGAAAAAAAAGCATTTCCAATCACAAGAGAGCCAGGAACACTCTTCTGGTCATGTAATGTTCAGCGTAGGAGTCTCTCAACAAAGGCTCCTAGTGTTGCAGCAGGAATGGCTTAAATTTGAGGAAAATCAAGCAATCTTTTTATTTATAGCTCGTGTGTGCAGTTTTATGTAATTTATAATAGAAGTGAGTGCTACTGAACACCTTAGCATCTAAATCTCTACTAAGAAACCTTGACGTTTGGTGTCAAACAAAGTACATTTACGTGATCAGAACCTTGTCAGTATTGCCAGTCATAGAATTATAGAACCTTAGAAAAACGTGAGTCAGAGGAAACCTCTGGAGATTCTCTCATCTAACTCCAAGGAGGTCCACCTTCAATGTCTAGGGCAATGTCCAACTTAGTTTTGAATATCTCCAGGGGCAGTGATTCCACAGCCCCCTCAGGCACCTCTTTGAAAATGCTGTTTCCTGACCTTTAACCGGAATCCTTCCACATTGCAGCTGGTGTCCATTGGCTCTTGTCCCATCCCCAAGCACCTCTGAAAAGAGTCTGGTTCCACCTGCTCTTTGCAAGTCTGCACTAAATCCAGCAGCTTTGAAACAACTTTAGTCACAGTTTGTGACTTTGATGGGTCCTCTACTCTTCACACTGCGGGTTTTGAGTTCCAGCCATTCTTGCAGTGTGTCTCAGATATATTTCTAACATGTGCTGTTCTTACCCCTGTAGTGCAAAGATGCTGTTGCTCTCTGTAATGGCAGCTCCAGGTATCTGAAAGGATGCTGTGCTGCCATCTTTTACTCCACAGGAAAACACAGACCTATGTTTTCATGGCAGTAAACTTACCCATTTTTGGAGAACGCCACAACTAGAAGCTTCCTTTCTACTCCCCATTCTGCTCCAGAAAGGAAAAAAATTGACCCTGGTTTTATGTATAATCCATTTTCAAATTCTTTTTTAACTACAAATTCTCTTTCTGCTTTCTTGAATCTTTGACCAAGCTGCAAAGTGGAAAAGACACTGTATCTTTTTTTTTTTAAATGGGTGATAAATGCACATTCATAGAACAAAGGGAAAGTAGAATGTACAAAATCTTTACATATTAATATTATATCTATAATGCAAATATTTCTGCTTATTACCTGCTTTGAATCTCCTTTAAAAACAAAATAATCAAGTAGAATTTATTTCAGGTGAGGCTGTTCTAAAGATTGTCAAGAAATTGTACCATCTTTCTCTTACCAGTTCTCACTGATTTAATGAGCTGTGGCTGTAAACCCTAAACTGAGCATATGATGTATAGCAAAAAACTTGCAATAACTTAATTTACCAAATATTTGTCTTACCAACAGTATAGATCATTCTTATAATTGCAGTGAGCACTGTAGCTGTACTAGTAATTAAAAGTTGTGCAGACGTACTAACACAGTCTAGCAAACTAAGGGTATTTCAAAATAGGGTTCTTAGTGTTGCTTGATTGGTATTTCCAGAGGAACACCCTGAAGTCAGATGCCACAACTGAGGAATTTTTAATGTTGAAGCAGAAGGTGACCCTCTGTGCTGCAAGTAAGAGACACCTGTGAGACAGAGAGACAAGCACGTGCTTCCATCACCTTTTTTTTTTTTTAATCCACAAGAGTGGTTCTAGGAAAGTAGATTAGTCAGAATTGATGTAGCCAGGGACAGCAGAAAAGCTACTTTTCAGGGGGCTTTGTGAGACAGATCCAGCCACAGCGCTCACACTGTTTTAGCAACACGTCTTTTCCTGGACTCAGTTCCTGATTTACCTCTCACGTACAATCTTCCTGTGGAAGACCCTATTGATTGTAGCAGGAATAATAATCATGCTTCAGCATTTATATGGATTAAAATCTATAAATTCTCTTCTCTCATCATGTATTCAATGGTCAGGTGACATCAGAACCCAGTGACCTGGAACAGAAAAGCATAGAGGAAGACAAAAGTCTGTTCTCTGGGAAGGTCCATGCTCACTGTCATTTTTTTTCCTTTTTTTTTTTTTTGTGTTTATGCTCTGAATTATCCTCTGGATCCAACTTTTGTTCTGTTCCAGAGCCTAGAAAGACCAGCCTTAGTTGCCTACATTTAAATTACATGGTCATCACACCACATATATATTTTTGATATTGAAGATCTCTATTCACTTTCAGCAATTCCCTGGGTGAGTACTTCTGGTATCCATAAGAAATTCTATATGATCCACCTCAACATAACCTTTCTTCTTTGAGAAGATAACAAGAGGTTTTTATGGCAACCAGGAAGGAGGGTGTATTATATACACATGTAACACCAGACATGGTAATGTTGGTTTAGAAGAAAAACCCTGTGAATGGTAGAGCTCACCTGAAGAGAGGGCAATATTTCAATCTTTAAACACTGGATCTGATCTTTCATATACTAAATATGTGTTTTAATGCAGATGTATAAGTCTAGGAAACAAAGACATGAAATATCAGACTGGGAAAGCAATGAAACCTTTACTTCTACCACTGGCACACACCTGATCTCACCCCTGTTTTTCCAAATTAGTCCTGCCTCATTTGATGTTTGACCTTAGTGTGAATCAGGGCAATCTTACTGTGCCATTTCCCTGTTCTGGAGTTCCACTTCTACAGTATTCTTTGAACTGAAGCTTTATGTGCACCAACACTGACATATCCTTTCCTCATCCTGCTCACACAAGTATTTAATCAGGTGGCACATTGCTCATAGCCAAACAAAAAGTTGGCACATTCAGTTCCTCTGTACAGACTTTGCTGTTCAAGCAGAGAACACCTGTCCTATTGGCCGTGTTCATTGGAGGCTATTGAAAGACCAGAGAGACAACCATATGTTTTTTTATTCCAGTATCTGGATCTCATCTTATAATGGAAGCAAACACAGTCCTGAGAACACTGCTCACAGGCCCAGTGACTCTAGTCTGTGACATGTCCTGTGCTTGTAAGACACAACACATGTGAACCTCTTCTGTAATGCTCCAGATGTCTTTGGGTGACCCTTTATTTTATTTTGAGGAACAGTTAACTCTTCTCGAAAAAAAACCCTAAATCAGTGAAATACATATGAGCAAAATCTATTAGTGAAAATGCTTGATTAAAATTGGCTGAAGCTTTTTGAAGTTTTGCAAAGTGTTTAGTAGTTTAAAAGTGGTATTCTGCAGAAGTGAATGAATAAAACAGTAGCAGTTATAATGGACAATCCATTGATTTCCCTGAGAATGTTTATATGAGTCGTTATACTCTTCTACAGGTACCTCTGTATCTAAGGGTTTTGAAGACTGCATGTATCTACGAAGTGTTATGGTCTACATCAGCAATCATTAAATTTATCTAAAATTTATTTGAGAAGCAGAAAAAGGACTGTACAGTGTGTAGCTGTTTCCCATTTAAAACTTAGCTATAAACAAGCATTTTCACTAACACTGTGTATTTGGAATGTCCACTACAGAGAAAACTTTTCTTTAATATTTCATATATGTTACACAGACTGTCGTCAGATAGTCATGGTCTTCTTGTTTTGCCAATTCACAAGTAAACCTTTTGATCAGCTGACCCTAATTAGCTTTAACTGTAGCCTTCCTCATCAGGTAGTCTTCAGGTGTAGTAATATATGACCAGCAGGTGAGGGAGGGGATTCTGCCCCTCTGCTCTGCTCTGGTGAGACCCCACCTGCAGTGCTGCCTTCAGCTCTGGAGTCCCCAGCACAGGGAAAACATGGACCTGTTGGAGCGAGGCCAGAGGAGGCCAGTAAGTTCTTTAGAGGGATGAACCACCTCTGCTATGAAGAAAGGCTGAGAGAATTGGGATTGTTTAGCCTAGAAAAGAGAAGACTTTGCCCACTAAATGTGGCCTTGTAGTACCTGAAGGGAGCCTACAAGAAAGATGGAGAGAGACTTTTGACAAGGGCATGTGGTGACAGGACAAGGGGAATGGCTTTAACCTGAAATAAAGTAGATTTAGCTTAGATATTAGGAAAAAATTCTTTACTGTGAGGGCGGTGAGCCACTGGAACAGGTGGCTGAGGGAAGCTGTGGAATCCATCCTGGATTCATTCAAGGCCAGGTTAGATGAAGCTCTGAGCAAGCTGGTCTACTGGAAGGTGTTCCTGCTTATGGAAGGGGGGTTGGAACTAGATGATCTTTCAGGTCCCTTCCAACCCGGGCCATTCTATTATTCTATGGTATTTATCTGCAGGGCAGATTATAAGTGAGTATAAGAGGACATCGTTCCCTGATTTGCATAAAGAGGCTTTGGAGTTTTCATCTGGCTTTGTGTGGAATACCAATAATTCTCTCAGACGCTTAAAAAAAACCCTGACAGTGTCACGTTTGGCGACGGTAAAATAGTTGTCACTGACTGCACACAAGAATCAAGGAAGAATTAACTTGTGGACCATTTTTTATGGGGGGGGGAAGCCGTGTACATTTTGCAGAAATACTGTTCGGATCCTTTGCGCGGAGAACTTATTAAAAGAATAAATCTTTAGTATATGCAAAATAAAGGGGAAAAGAAAGAAAGAAAGCAAGACGAGGGGAAAGCTCAGAGCCCCCAAAGCCGCCGCACAAAAGGCAGCGCCGGGCGCGGGGGGGCGGCCTCTCACCCCGCCCGACAGTAGGGGGCGCTCGGGCTTCACCGAGCGGCGCTGCCGCGGCCCGGGCACGGCGGGACAGCGGGGACGGCGCGGGCTGCTGTGACACCGCGGGGGCGTGTGTCCCCTCATGGGGCCGCGTGTGACACCGCGGGGCTGTGTGTCCCCTCACGGGGCTGCTGTGACACCGTGGGACTGTGTGTCCCCTCACGGGGCTGCTGTGACAGCGCGGGGCGTGTGTGACCGCGGGGGCTGTGTGTCTCCTCACGGGGCTGCTGTGCCACCGCGGGGCTGTGTGTCCCCTCACGGGGCTGCTGTGACACCCCGGGGGCGTGTGTCC